AACGTTTTTTGATGGTTCTGAGCCACCAAACACACTTAAAGCATGCAGAATCGACTCAGAATAGGAAAAGGAGACGTTTAGGTCAATTTTATGCATTCTGGCGTTCGTAGATACAAGAAAACTGTTAAAATTCTTCAGAAACGTCACTTTTGAAGTGTTTTCTTGTACTTTTAAGCCAATCAGATACCCTACGGGCTCGGAAAGTGCAACGAAACCATCAAATTTTAGCTAGAAACTGTATTTTTGTCGATTTTTATTGAATTTGAACTATATTTCAACGTTTTTTGATGGTTCTGAGCCACCAAACACACTTAAAGCATGCAGAATCGACTCAGAATAGGAAAAGGAGACGTTTAGGTCAATTTTTATGCATTCTGGCGTTCGTAGATACAAAAAAACTGTTAAAATTCTTCAGAAACGTCACTTTTGAAGTGTTTTCTTGTACTTTTAAGCCAATCAGATACCCTACGGGCTCGGAAAGTGCAACGAAACCATCAAATTTTAGCTAGAAACTGTATTTTTGTCGATTTTTATTGAATTTGAACTATATTTCAACGTTTTTTGATGGTTCTGAGCCACCAAACACACTTAAAGCATGCAGAATCGACTCAGAATAGGAAAAGGAGACGTTTAGGTCAATTTTATGCATTCTGGCGTTCGTAGATACAAGAAAACTGTTAAAATTCTTCAGAAACGTCACTTTTGAAGTGTTTTCTTGTACTTTTAAGCCAATCAGATACCCTACGGGCTCGGAAAGTGCAACGAAACCATCAAATTTTAGCTAGAAACTGTATTTTTGTCGATTTTTATTGAATTTGAACTATATTTCAACGTTTTTTGATGGTTCTGAGCCACCAAACACACTTAAAGCATGCAGAATCGACTCAGAATAGGAAAAGGAGACGTTTAGGTCAATTTTTATGCATTCTGGCGTTCGTAGATACAAAAAAACTGTTAAAATTCTTCAGAAACGTCACTTTTGAAGTGTTTTCTTGTACTTTTAAGCCAATCAGATACCCTACGGGCTCGGAAAGTGCAACGAAACCATCAAATTTTAGCTAGAAACTGTATTTTTGTCGATTTTTATTGTATTTGAACTATATTTCAACGTTTTTTGATGGTTCTGAGCCACCAAACACACTTAAAGCATGCAGAATCGACTCAGAATAGGAAAAGGAGACGTTTAGGTCAATTTTATGCATTCTGGCGTTCGTAGATACAAGAAAACTGTTAAAATTCTTCAGAAACGTCACTTTTGAAGTGTTTTCTTGTACTTTTAAGCCAATCAGATACCCTACGGGCTCGGAAAGTGCAACGAAACCATCAAATTTTAGCTAGAAACTGTATTTTTGTCGATTTTTATTGAATTTGAACTATATTTCAACGTTTTTTGATGGTTCTGAGCCACCAAACACACTTAAAGCATGCAGAATCGACTCAGAATAGGAAAAGGAGACGTTTAGGTCAATTTTATGCATTCTGGCGTTCGTAGATACAAGAAAACTGTTAAAATTCTTCAGAAACGTCACTTTTGAAGTGTTTTCTTGTACTTTTAAGCCAATCAGATACCCTACGGGCTCGGAAAGTGCAACGAAACCATCAAATTTTAGCTAGAAACTGTATTTTTGTCGATTTTTATTGAATTTGAACTATATTTCAACGTTTTTTGATGGTTCTGAGCCACCAAACACACTTAAAGCATGCAGAATCGACTCAGAATAGGAAAAGGAGACGTTTAGGTCAATTTTATGCATTCTGGCGTTCGTAGATACAAGAAAACTGTTAAAATTCTTCAGAAACGTCACTTTTGAAGTGTTTTCTTGTACTTTTAAGCCAATCAGATACCCTACGGGCTCGGAAAGTGCAACGAAACCATCAAATTTTAGCTAGAAACTGTATTTTTGTCGATTTTTATTGAATTTGAACTATATTTCAACGTTTTTTGATGGTTCTGAGCCACCAAACACACTTAAAGCATGCAGAATCGACTCAGAATAGGAAAAGGAGACGTTTAGGTCAATTTTTATGCATTCTGGCGTTCGTAGATACAAAAAAACTGTTAAAATTCTTCAGAAACGTCACTTTTGAAGTGTTTTCTTGTACTTTTAAGCCAATCAGATACCCTACGGGCTCGGAAAGTGCAACGAAATCATCAAATTTTAGCTAGAAACTGTATTTTTGTCGATTTTTATTGAATTTGAACTATATTTCAACGTTTTTTGATGGTTCTGAGCCACCAAACACACTTAAAGCATGCAGAATCGACTCAGAATAGGAAAAGGAGACGTTTAGGTCAATTTTATGCATTCTGGCGTTCGTAGATACAAGAAAACTGTTAAAATTCTTCAGAAACGTCACTTTTGAAGTGTTTTCTTGTACTTTTAAGCCAATCAGATACCCTACGGGCTCGGAAAGTGCAACGAAACCATCAAATTTTAGCTAGAAACTGTATTTTTGTCGATTTTTATTGAATTTGAACTATATTTCAACGTTTTTTGATGGTTCTGAGCCACCAAACACACTTAAAGCATGCAGAATCGACTCAGAATAGGAAAAGGAGACGTTTAGGTCAATTTTTATGCATTCTGGCGTTCGTAGATACAAAAAAACTGTTAAAATTCTTCAGAAACGTCACTTTTGAAGTGTTTTCTTGTACTTTTAAGCCAATCAGATACCCTACGGGCTCGGAAAGTGCAACGAAACCATCAAATTTTAGCTAGAAACTGTATTTTTGTCGATTTTTATTGAATTTGAACTATATTTCAACGTTTTTTGATGGTTCTGAGCCACCAAACACACTTAAAGCATGCAGAATCGACTCAGAATAGGAAAAGGAGACGTTTAGGTCAATTTTATGCATTCTGGCGTTCGTAGATACAAGAAAACTGTTAAAATTCTTCAGAAACGTCACTTTTGAAGTGTTTTCTTGTACTTTTAAGCCAATCAGATACCCTACGGGCTCGGAAAGTGCAACGAAACCATCAAATTTTAGCTAGAAACTGTATTTTTGTCGATTTTTATTGAATTTGAACTATATTTCAACGTTTTTTGATGGTTCTGAGCCACCAAACACACTTAAAGCATGCAGAATCGACTCAGAATAGGAAAAGGAGACGTTTAGGTCAATTTTATGCATTCTGGCGTTCGTAGATACAAGAAAACTGTTAAAATTCTTCAGAAACGTCACTTTTGAAGTGTTTTCTTGTACTTTTAAGCCAATCAGATACCCTACGGGCTCGGAAAGTGCAACGAAACCATCAAATTTTAGCTAGAAACTGTATTTTTGTCGATTTTTATTGAATTTGAACTATATTTCAACGTTTTTTGATGGTTCTGAGCCACCAAACACACTTAAAGCATGCAGAATCGACTCAGAATAGGAAAAGGAGACGTTTAGGTCAATTTTATGCATTCTAGCGTTCGTAGATACAAGAAAACTGTTAAAATTCTTCAGAAACGTCACTTTTGAAGTGTTTTCTTGTACTTTTAAGCCAATCAGATACCCAACGGGCTCGGAAAGTGCAACGAAACCATCAAATTTTAGCTAGAAACTGTATTTTTGTCGATTTTTATTGAATTTGAACTATATTTCAACGTTTTTTGATGGTTCTGAGCCACCAAACACACTTAAAGCATGCAGAATCGACTCAGAATAGGAAAAGGAAACGTTTAGGTCAATTTTTATGCATTCTGGCGTTCGTAGATACAAAAAAACTGTTAAAATTCTTCAGAAACGTCACTTTTGAAGTGTTTTCTTGTACTTTTAAGCCAATCAGATACCCTACGGGCTCGGAAAGTGCAACGAAACCATCAAATTTTAGCTAGAAACTGTATTTTTGTCGATTTTTATTGAATTTGAACTATATTTCAACGTTTTTTGATGGTTCTGAGCCACCAAACACACTTAAAGCATGCAGAATCGACTCAGAATAGGAAAAGGAGACGTTTAGGTCAATTTTATGCATTCTGGCGTTCGTAGATACAAGAAAACTGTTAAAATTCTTCAGAAACGTCACTTTTGAAGTGGTTTCTTGTACTTTTAAGCCAATCAGATACCCTACGGGCTCGGAAAGTGCAACGAAACCATCAAATTTTAGCTAGAAACTGTATTTTTGTCGATTTTTATTGAATTTGAACTATATTTCAACGTTTTTTGATGGTTCTGAGCCACCAAACACACTTAAAGCATGCAGAATCGACTCAGAATAGGAAAAGGAGACGTTTAGGTCAATTTTATGCATTCTGGCGTTCGTAGATACAAGAAAACTGTTAAAATTCTTCAGAAACGTCACTTTTGAAGTGTTTTCTTGTACTTTTAAGCCAATCAGATACCCTACGGGCTCGGAAAGTGCAACGAAACCATCAAATTTTAGCTAGAAACTGTATTTTTGTCGATTTTTATTGAATTTGAACTATATTTCAACGTTTTTTGATGGTTCTGAGCCACCAAACACACTTAAAGCATGCAGAATCGACTCAGAATAGGAAAAGGAGACGTTTAGGTCAATTTTTATGCATTCTGGCGTTCGTAGATACAAAAAAACTGTTAAAATTCTTCAGAAACGTCACTTTTGAAGTGTTTTCTTGTAGGGGAGAGCGGGGATAGTTGTCACAAAATTTGTATTTGATTTTTTTTTTACCGGATGTATTATTTTTCATGAGTAAAGGAATTTTGATACAAAAGACACAAGTGTTGAGATTCGTAGAAAAAGTAGATCACTAACAAATCTTTAGTAGTTCAAGTAAAAAAAAATAGTTTGTACCAGAGTGCAAAGTGTGACAACCTGCCCCATGACGGGGTTTGTTGTCCCTCGGGAGGGGGTAACTTGTCACGTGCTAAAAAAGTGGACAAAATCGCAAATACAATGTTTTTATTAAGTCAGTACAAAAATCAGAGGAAAAGTTGAGGTAACTAAATATTTTGAATTTTGAGTCACACTCAATAAGCATATAAAAAAATAACGAAAACTCCTTAGTGCTACAAAAATGTATAACAATTTTTATGAACTATCATCATCATCATCGGAATCACAATTGTGACACACATAAAATAGATTTCTGTTGGCGCATTTTTCATGTGCCCATCTCTTACACCGGGTGCATTGTAGCCAAGAATCTTTTGAATTACTGTAGTTGCCGTCACACACTAAGCAAAAAGTTTCTTCTTCTTCAGATGAAGATTCTTGCTTATGCTGCTTCCTCTGGTATTTCTTTTTCTTGTTGCTTGAAACAGAAAAATTTTCAGAAAACAAGTTTCGTTTGGGTTTCCCAGCTTTATTCGCTCTTGCAACCTGCTCGGCCTCAAGTTCATCCTTAACTGGGGTATCCGTTAAAATAGCAGATTTACGCTTTTTTCTTTGCTGTTTTGTGTTTTTTCTCTCTTGAGCCTTTGGTAAGGGACGAATAGCTTCTGGAGAAAAAGCCGACTCAATCGCAGATATGGTAGATGCCGAAGATGCACTTGTCGAACTCCAAGATTCTGCTTGAGCAGAAGTTGAAGGTGATAAAGTGTTCGTTGTCATTTCAACGGGTTGTAACAAATTGGCAGATTCTTGATTTGGATTTGGCCGATCTGTTACATAACTTGGAAGAAAGTCCTGGTCTGAGAAAATATCTCTATTGAATGGATAGATGCCACCCACTTTAAATCCAGATGTTACATTATTAGGAACAAGTGCCAATGGTAGAGCATTTCCTACAATGCCTGGAATATCGTAGATGGTAATGGTCTTACCAGGATTAGTTCTTAACCATGAATCACAGTTTGAATTAATGAATTTTTTCAAGGAATAGAAAACAGATCTATCTAGTGGTTGCATCTTGTGGCTGCAGTGAGGAGGGAATGAAAGCATGACCACTCCGTTATCTTTGGCGAAATTTAAAGATGCTATTGATATATGTGAATCCAAATTATCTAGCAGTAATAAAATAGGACTCTTTTTCGTACATTTCACTGTAGCAACCAAATGCTTCATAAAAGTTAGAAAAATATCATTATTCATCCAACCTGAGCGATTTGCTGCTCCAATACTTCCTGCAGGTGCTCCTCTTAAGAAATGGTCTTTGAAATGGACTCTCGGGAAAATAAATAGAGGAGGAATACTATTTCCTGAAGCAGAGACTGCAATTGCAACAGTCACCAGCGTCCCTCTTTCTGCAGAAGTTATTGCACCAATTTGCCGAAATCCCTTTCTGGCTACAATACGGTCAGGACGCTGGACAGTCGTTACCCCGGTTTCATCCATGTTGTATATATCTGTAGGACGAAAAGAATAACGATCAAATAAATTCGCCAAATTGTCGAAGAAGGCTGCCACGTTCGTTCTGTTAAAACTAGTAGCTCTTGACAAGCTTGTGGATTGTGGTGTACGGATTGATAACCTGGGGTGCCTTTTTAAGAAGCCGGAAAACCAATCTGGACCTGCCATAAGCGTGTCGATCCATTTTTGTGGCATGACTTTCCCTAGAGCTTTGGCATAATCATACGCAAGTCGCTTCACCTCCTTGGGTGTTAGACGAAAATAAATATCTGCGGCTTTTTTTAAATAATTTTCGAGCTGCATTTCTTCCTCTTCACTAAAAACTTGTCTGGGTTTTTGATACCCCATCTGTACTTTTGTAATATTATTCGCTAACTCTTCTGGAGTAACTTTCTTGCAGAATCTTGACAAAGTTTTGTAATTGATGTTGTAATCTGCAGCAGCTTTCCTTATGGAAGAAATTCCATTTCGAATATCCCTTGCCGCTCTGAGGAAAATATCTGCGGGGGGAATATATCGGTCCGTCTTCTTCTTGTAAGTTCTAACCATCTGCAACGAATGGTGGTCATTGTCTTAACTTAGTATTATCGTTGGGGGCATGTTGTCACAGTGACAATCTGCCCCACAGATTGTGTGACAACTAGCCCCAACCGACATTTTTATCGATGAAAATCCACCAAATTATTGATAGTCAATGTAAATGCATTATTCTAGCACAAAAACACAACTTAATATCTACTAACTTAAATACATTACTTACACTTACCTTTAATTTAGAAACAACTGTATTACCACATAATTTTCGGCATACGAAACTTTACTAAAACGTGGGAATAACACTTTTTCAGCCATTAACACCACATGGTACAGATTACTGTATTGAAAGTTTGTAGTTTAATTCTTAGCTGGTAAAACAATTCATTGGTAGAGGTCGCCACTTAGAGTGAATATTAGCAAAAAAATTATCAGCTCTGAGACACTTTGCCCCTGTGACTACTAGCCCCGCTCACCCCTACTTTTAAGCCAATCAGATACCCTACGGGCTCGGAAAGTGCAACGAAATCATCAAATTTTAGCTAGAAACTGTATTTTTGTCGATTTTTATTGAATTTGAACTATATTTCAACGTTTTTTGATGGTTCTGAGCCACCAAACACACTTAAAGCATGCAGAATCGACTCAGAATAGGAAAAGGAGACGTTTAGGTCAATTTTATGCATTCTGGCGTTCGTAGATACAAGAAAACTGTTAAAATTCTTCAGAAACGTCACTTTTGAAGTGTTTTCTTGTACTTTTAAGCCAATCAGATACCCTACGGGCTCGGAAAGTGCAACGAAACCATCAAATTTTAGCTAGAAACTGTATTTTTGTCGATTTTTATTGAATTTGAACTATATTTCAACGTTTTTTGATGGTTCTGAGCCACCAAACACACTTAAAGCATGCAGAATCGACTCAGAATAGGAAAAGGAGACGTTTAGGTCAATTTTTATGCATTCTGGCGTTCGTAGATACAAAAAAACTGTTAAAATTCTTCAGAAACGTCACTTTTGAAGTGTTTTCTTGTACTTTTAAGCCAATCAGATACCCTACGGGCTCGGAAAGTGCAACGAAACCATCAAATTTTAGCTAGAAACAGTATTTTTGTCGATTTTTATTGAATTTGAACTATATTTCAACGTTTTTTGATGGTTCTGAGCCACCAAACACACTTAAAGCATGCAGAATCGACTCAGAATAGGAAAAGGAGACGTTTAGGTCAATTTTATGCATTCTGGCGTTCGTAGATACAAGAAAACTGTTAAAATTCTTCAGAAACGTCACTTTTGAAGTGTTTTCTTGTACTTTTAAGCCAATCAGATACCCTACGGGCTCGGAAAGTGCAACGAAACCATCAAATTTTAGCTAGAAACTGTATTTTTGTCGATTTTTATTGAATTTGAACTATATTTCAACGTTTTTTGATGGTTCTGAGCCACCAAACACACTTAAAGCATGCAGAATCGACTCAGAATAGGAAAAGGAGACGTTTAGGTCAATTTTATGCATTCTGGCGTTCGTAGATACAAGAAAACTGTTAAAATTCTTCAGAAACGTCACTTTTGAAGTGTTTTCTTGTACTTTTAAGCCAATCAGATACCCTACGGGCTCGGAAAGTGCAACGAAACCATCAAATTTTAGCTAGAAACTGTATTTTTGTCGATTTTTATTGAATTTGAACTATATTTCAACGTTTTTTGATGGTTCTGAGCCACCAAACACACTTAAAGCATGCAGAATCGACTCAGAATAGGAAAAGGAGACGTTTAGGTCAATTTTATGCATTCTGGCGTTCGTAGATACAAGAAAACTGTTAAAATTCTTCAGAAACGTCACTTTTGAAGTGTTTTCTTGTACTTTTAAGCCAATCAGATACCCAACGGGCTCGGAAAGTGCAACGAAACCATCAAATTTTAGCTAGAAACTGTATTTTTGTCGATTTTTATTGAATTTGAACTATATTTCAACGTTTTTTGATGGTTCTGAGCCACCAAACACACTTAAAGCATGCAGAATCGACTCAGAATAGGAAAAGGAAACGTTTAGGTCAATTTTTATGCATTCTGGCGTTCGTAGATACAAAAAAACTGTTAAAATTCTTCAGAAACGTCACTTTTGAAGTGTTTTCTTGTACTTTTAAGCCAATCAGATACCCTACGGGCTCGGAAAGTGCAACGAAACCATCAAATTTTAGCTAGAAACTGTATTTTTGTCGATTTTTATTGAATTTGAACTATATTTCAACGTTTTTTGATGGTTCTGAGCCACCAAACACACTTAAAGCATGCAGAATCGACTCAGAATAGGAAAAGGAGACGTTTAGGTCAATTTTATGCATTCTGGCGTTCGTAGATACAAGAAAACTGTTAAAATTCTTCAGAAACGTCACTTTTGAAGTGTTTTCTTGTACTTTTAAGCCAATCAGATACCCTACGGGCTCGGAAAGTGCAACGAAACCATCAAATTTTAGCTAGAAACTGTATTTTTGTCGATTTTTATTGAATTTGAACTATATTTCAACGTTTTTTGATGGTTCTGAGCCACCAAACACACTTAAAGCATGCAGAATCGACTCAGAATAGGAAAAGGAGACGTTTAGGTCAATTTTTATGCATTCTGGCGTTCGTAGATACAAAAAAACTGTTAAAATTCTTCAGAAACGTCACTTTTGAAGTGTTTTCTTGTACTTTTAAGCCAATCAGATACCCTACGGGCTCGGAAAGTGCAACGAAACCATCAAATTTTAGCTAGAAACTGTATTTTTGTCGATTTTTATTGAATTTGAACTATATTTCAACGTTTTTTGATGGTTCTGAGCCACCAAACACACTTAAAGCATGCAGAATCGACTCAGAATAGGAAAAGGAGACGTTTAGGTCAATTTTATGCATTCTGGCGTTCGTAGATACAAGAAAACTGTTAAAATTCTTCAGAAACGTCACTTTTGAAGTGTTTTCTTGTACTTTTAAGCCAATCAGATACCCTACGGGCTCGGAAAGTGCAACGAAACCATCAAATTTTAGCTAGAAACTGTATTTTTGTCGATTTTTATTGAATTTGAACTATATTTCAACGTTTTTTGATGGTTCTGAGCCACCAAACACACTTAAAGCATGCAGAATCGACTCAGAATAGGAAAAGGAGACGTTTAGGTCAGTTTTATGCATTCTGGCGTTCGTAGATACAAGAAAACTGTTAAAATTCTTCAGAAACGTCACTTTTGAAGTGTTTTCTTGTACTTTTAAGCCAATCAGATACCCTACGGGCTCGGCAAGTGCAACGAAACCATCAAATTTTAGCTAGAAACTGTATTTTTGTCGATGTTTATTGAATTTGAACTATATTTCAACGTTTTTTGATGGTTCTGAGCCACCAAACACACTTAAAGCATGCAGAATCGACTCAGAATAGGAAAAGGACACGTTTAGGTCAATTTTATGCATTCTGGCGTTCGTAGATACAAGAAAACTGTTAAAATTCTTCAGAAACGTCACTTTTGAAGTGTTTTCTTGTACTTTTAAGCCAATCAGATACCCTACGGGCTCGGAAAGTGCAACGAAACCATCAAATTTTAGCTAGAAACTGTATTTTTGTCGATTTTTATTGAATTTGAACTATATTTCAACGTTTTTTGATGGTTCTGAGCCACCAAACACACTTAAAGCATGCAGAATCGACTCAGAATGGGAAAAGGAGACGTTTAGGTCAATTTTTATGCATTCTGGCGTTCGTAGATACAAAAAAACTGTTAAAATTCTTCAGAAACGTCACTTTTGAAGTGTTTTCTTGTACTTTTAAGCCAATCAGATACCCTACGGGCTCGGAAAGTGCAACGAAACCATCAAATTTTAGCTAGAAACTGTATTTTTGTCGATTTTTATTGAATTTGAACTATATTTCAACGTTTTTTGATGGTTCTGAGCCACCAAACACACTTAAAGCATGCAGAATCGACTCAGAATAGGAAAAGGAGACGTTTAGGTCAATTTTATGCATTCTGGCGTTCGTAGATACAAGAAAACTGTTAAAATTCTTCAGAAACGTCACTTTTGAAGTGTTTTCTTGTACTTTTAAGCCAATCAGATACCCTACGGGCTCGGAAAATGCAACGAAACCATCAAATTTTAGCTAGAAACTGTATTTTTGTCGATTTTTATTGAATTTGAACTATATTTCAACGTTTTTTGATGGTTCTGAGCCACCAAACACACTTAAAGCATGCAGAATCGACTCAGAATAGGAAAAGGAGACGTTTAGGTCAATTTTATGCATTCTGGCGTTCGTAGATACAAGAAAACTGTTAAAATTCTTCAGAAACGTCACTTTTGAAGTGTTTTCTTGTACTTTTAAGCCAATCAGATACCCTACGGGCTCGGAAAGTGCAACGAAACCATCAAATTTTAGCTAGAAACTGTATTTTTGTCGATTTTTATTGAATTTGAACTATATTTCAACGTTTTTTGATGGTTCTGAGCCACCAAACACACTTAAAGCATGCAGAATCGACTCAGAATAGGAAAAGGAGACGTTTAGGTCAATTTTATGCATTCTGGCGTTCGTAGATACAAGAAAACTGTTAAAATTCTTCAGAAACGTCACTTTTGAAGTGTTTTCTTGTACTTTTAAGCCAATCAGATACCCAACGGGCTCGGAAAGTGCAACGAAACCATCAAATTTTAGCTAGAAACTGTATTTTTGTCGATTTTTATTGAATTTGAACTATATTTCAACGTTTTTTGATGGTTCTGAGCCACCAAACACACTTAAAGCATGCAGAATCGACTCAGAATAGGAAAAGGAGACGTTTAGGTCAATTTTTATGCATTCTGGCGTTCGTAGATACAAAAAAACTGTTAAAATTCTTCAGAAACGTCACTTTTGAAGTGTTTTCTTGTACTTTTAAGCCAATCAGATACCCTACGGGCTCGGAAAGTGCAACGAAACCATCAAATTTTAGCTAGAAACTGTATTTTTGTCGATTTTTATTGAATTTGAACTATATTTCAACGTTTTTTGATGGTTCTGAGCCACCAAACACACTTAAAGCATGCAGAATCGACTCAGAATAGGAAAAGGAGACGTTTAGGTCAATTTTATGCATTCTGGCGTTCGTAGAT